TGCTGTGATCAACCGATGATACAAGTTTAATGTCACTGATGTGAAAATTGTATTGTACTTTGTTGGATGCTAGTAATTTGTGTGGAATGATTGTCTATGTTTGTCGGGACACTTGAATTTTGAAAAGACGCGTTTTGAAAAGATGCGTTTTGAAGAGATGTTTGGAAAGATCCTCGAGTCTTTTCGACCAATGTGCTCGGAGTTGAAGATGCCGGATTCTTTGCTTGAGGCGTGTCTAATATATTACAATATGTATGTGGCTCTTGTAAACATTGCAAGTAATAATCACCCCGATCAATACAATTTGTTACCGTCATCGTTCACTAAGTGTATCACTGTTGGCTCTGCATTATCAACGTGACGTTCTACGTGTTCCCAAAGTGAAGACACAGAATTGAACTTTTCAGAACAGTTGCCCCATTTGCAAGCATGTTTTTCAATCATTATATCAGTTCTATTGACCATTTATATGAGCGTGAGTGCGTTTTTATCAAAAGCAAAAATTTTTTCTGCTATTTTAGTATTTATAAATTTTTGTGGTACAAGTTTATAAATAGTTTAGAGTAAATCGATTGCCATGATATACCTTTGTGCAGGATGTTTGCTAATAAAAATTTGGCGCTAATGCCACCTGTAACTTCAGAGCACTGTTCCAAAAGAATTACTGTCTATTGAATTATAAAATTATAAAGAAACTTTATATGAGGTAGAAAGAGATATTTCGTAAGCCAGTGATCAGAATCGTTGTACCGTTCGAATGGTATCCGATTCTGATCGTTAAATCACGAGATATCCAAGTTCTGTACGTACAAACATAATCTTAGGAAACTTTGACAAAATACAACATGTATATAAATTTTACAAATTTAACAACAACTCCAAAAGGGCCTATCTCGTGTTCTAGCAAAAGGCCTAGCTGCCACACCAATTTTATCATTATGACTAGTAATTTGCAATGGCATTGTTGTACGTAGCAAAGACAAAAATACCGTTCCTGATGGATCGTCGGTACTGTTCCTGATAGGGTGAGGAAAAAAAGTCGATTTACATACCGTTCCTGATAGAGTTCTAAAAAAGGGCCTCTAAAATACTATACTATATAATGAAAAGAAGTTAGGATTAGGGTTCGTTTTTAGAACCCTATCAGGAACAGTACTCAAATAAATTTTTTTTTTTAACTCTATCAATATCGGTATTGCCGATCCATCAGGAATAGTATTTTTTGCGTAGCAAAGTGATGAGCATAGCGGGCTTTCATTCTGATTGGTCAATCGCTAAATGTATCGTCACATATTACACTACATATATCATCTGACT